AGCGTGTCTTGGGCAGTTCACACAGCAAGGACAGAATTACAAAGACTGAGTGACTTAAACAACAGACATTTACTTCTCATGTTTCTGTAGGTTGGAAGCCTGAGACAAAGGGAACAGCACCAGGAGGCTCTGGTAGGAGCTCTTTTCAGGTGGCAGCTTCTCACAAAGAGGGAAAAAGAGGGAGTTCATTGGCCTCTTTCATCGGGGCACTAATCCTGTTCAGGATGCTCACCCCCCATGACCCAATGACCTCTGAGGTGCCCACCTTGTAACACTGCCCCATTCAGGTTTAGGGTTTCTACCTATGAATCCAGGGCAGTGTACAGACATGTAGAACATCGTCGGCAGACTTGCCGGGGTCCTTGGAGAACAGGTTGCCTTTCACCCCAACAGGTCTAAAGGTTCTTCACCAAAAGTTTTAAACTCTTGTCAGATTCCAAGTACACGCATTTTTAACCTTTCTCCAGACTCTAAATCTTTAGTCATTTTGTCACATATGACTTTTGGTTGATATATTGTATCGGGTGCTAACCCTGTTGGGTCGCCTCTCCCAGGGTCATGCTTCTCCACAGCACTTATTACCGTGTTACACACTCTGTATTTAACCACACACTTGTTAGTGTTGGTCTTTGTCCCCTGGAATGTAAGCTTTGCGAGGGTAAGGATATCTATTCAGTTTACTATCAAATCACCAGTGATCAAATCCATATTTGGCATAGTAAGGCTCTCAATAAATATTTAGGGATGGTTAATGATGGTGGATAGGTGTGTGGATGGATTAATGGATGGATGGGTAGGCCTTCCCAGCTCTAAACACTTAAAATAAAATTATAGTAATAAAAGTTTTGTGGGCATTGGCACATGAGTAGAAAATAAGACAAGCAAAATGAAATGCAGAGCCTCAAAATAGGTATGAAATCTTGTACATAGATGTACATCATTGATGTACATCATTGCAGATCAATGTAAAAAATGATGGACTGAGAAATAAATGGTAATATCATAATGCATATCTGTACAGAAAATCTTTTCAGTCCTGACCTTATATCATAGAAAGAATATTACTTTCAAGTAGGTTGAATAGGAAAGATATAACTTTAAAAACATTAGAAGGAACCAAAGTTCTCTATGTCAATCTTTATGATCCATGGGTGGGAAAGGATATTTTTTTTTGGTAGTGGGGATTGAACTCTGGTGTTTGCGCTTGCAAGGCAGGCCACCGAACCGCTGAGCTAAATCGCCAGCCCAAGGGAAAGGATTATTAAATTAAATTAATAAATTACCTTAAAGCAATTACTAAAATATTTTGATATATTAAAATGTATAATTGTATTTCTCTCTAAATGAAGTAAAAATAGGAGGTTTGGACTGAGAAAAATGTTTGGAACACGTAACTGCAAAATGGTTGGTATCTGAAGCATGCAAATAAGAATAGAACATAAATATAACAAACTCCTGTGCACCCCTAAAAAACTTGGTCAAATATTATCATCTTACCATTTTACTGTTTCCTCTGCTTGGCATGCCATGCATTTTGCTCTTTCCTTGTGTAGTATTGTTGTCCTCCTGTAACAGCTCATGGGGGTAAGGGGCATAAGGATAAGTAAGTAGCCCACAGGAAAACTTAACTGACCAATAAAAAAACAGAATAATATTCAGTCTCACTCATATGTACACGAATGCCTAGAAAAAGCCAATGAGATATTTTGCATCTGTCAGATTGGAAACGTTGAAGTCTGACAATATGAAATCCTGGTAATTATGGGAGCTAAGGCTGGATTAGTGTAAATGCTACCATCACTTTCTAGAGAAATGTACAACACTGAACAGTTTTGAAGGTACCATGTACCTGCAGCTCAGTGAGCCCAAAGCAAAATCTCACGAAGACACGCCCATTCACTGCAGCAGTATTTGGGTACACAATTTGGAAACCACCCACATGCCCATTAACAAGGATGACTGAACCAGAACATAAGGCCATGATAAAATACTATCTAAATGCTAAAAGGAAAGAATTAAATCTGATTACATCCATGTAGCCTAATATTTAAAAAATAACACTGGACAAAATAAGCAAGCATTCACATGAATGCCTTCCATTGAAATATCATTTAGACAAAATTTTAAACCATGTAAAACAGTGGTATATACTGTTTATGAGTGCAAATATGTATTAGAAGCAGAAAAACATGCATGAAAATTTAGGAGCATAGTTATCTTCGTGGAATTGGAAAGGAATTCATGGGTGACTTTGCTTATGTCCACAACGTTTTATCTTTAAAAGAAAAGACCTGAAGCAAATGTGTAATAGAATGATAATATCTGGTCAGCCTGGGTGGCAATACATAGGTTTTTGTTATAATTATGTCTATATTCCACTTCATGCTTGAAGTAGTTTATAAGAAAATAAATAGGAGAGCATTTAAGTGTGACTACGACGGAATAAAGTTCAAGCCATAGCATAGCAAAGATAGATGTGGCATGATAATTGTAAGAGACACTGTCATGAGTCACAGACAGGGTACACACCCTCACCTGGTGCCTTCCTTGTCTGACAGTTGATGAGAAATGGTGGCCTGGGCTTGAATCTTAAACTCGGGTACTCATTAAACGTATAAAATTGGCATTCATTTCTTCATCCTTAGGGTGGACATATAAATAAACAAAATAGAGACTAGGAAGATGGTAGAGAATATTAATGAAGCTCTGACAATGGGTTCTTCAAAAAATCCACACGTGTTAGCTAGACTGACTGAGAAAAACAAAAGAGAAGACTTAAACTAAAAAGAAAGGAAAGAGAAGACCATACTAACAATGTTACAAAAATACAGAAGAGATTATAATATGGGGAAATAAGGTCCCTCGAAAGGAGAAGGAAGTGAGATAAAACGTGGGCAGTGCTTGGCATACTGCATGGCACAAAGAAGGAAGATGGGCCTGTGTTTAAGAGCTCAAGGTCAAGATGTAAAGAAACTAAAAGTCTCATTTTTTTTATTAGTATGGCTTACAGTATATAATGATTACATTTGTCATCGTACACGTTCATAACCCATCTTTATTCTTTTGATTTCCCCTTCTCCTCCCCTCCCTCCCCGATCCTTCCAACTCTTGGTCCCTTTCCATTACGAAAGCTCTACTTCCATTCTTGTCTTCAATTCTAAAAGCCTGTTTTAAATGCCACACTTTCCCTCCTGTTGTGTTTTACTGTAACCCTATCAGAATGGTGTCATTATTTCCTTTTGTTGTTTAGAAGAGAATGGAGCATTGTAGAGGTCAAGTAACTTGCCCAAGATTACCAAACTCCCACAACTAGGTCTTGCTCCAGAGAAATATAACTGTAAATTAATATCCTGGCTATATTTCACTAGTTTTATGAGTAGACTAAATTGAATTTCTATAAAACATGACAATAATCTATCCTGTAGCCTTTTTTTTTCCCTTAGCAGAGCAGAGAATCAACCAGCCATTGCTGATTAAAACTAATAACAGTTATCCACTTGGTATATATATATACCACACCATGTGAAGTGACTGAGTTGTTGTAATGGGATGTTTCTAGATAAATATTTCTGCCTTAAACAGATTCTTGGTCTTGAAAATATAGGACGATCACTTGGCTGTGATATCCCTTTATGTTGAGGTTTTGTGTTTTGTTTTGCTTGTACTATGGCCTTTTCTTTCCCACTCAGTTTTACTTTCTTCTCTGAAAAATTGCTAGCTCTCTGCTTTCCATCTTCTTTTATCATTAGTAAATCCAAATGGATTAACTTTCCATGGTCACTGATTATTTTACAAGGCAGGTGGCAGAACCACTGAGCTAAATCCCCAGCCCTCACTGATGATTTTGAATGAGCAAAATTTCCTGACCGAACCTTAGTCAGGTTGGTTCCAAGGATTGAGTCCTCTATTGAGTCACTCACTTGCTCCTTACAGCAAACATTGAGTGACAACTGACAACTGTGGGCCAGTCTTTGTGTTAGGACTCTGGTGGGCAGAGATAAATAAGGGATGACAACTTTCTACAGGAGCTCGCAGCGAGAGGGAGAAAGAGATGGAATTGGGCAATTCTGGCGCAGAGTGTGACCTTCATCACGGGGTATCAAGGAAGAATCATGGAACCAGGAGTCCTCGGTTAAATAGGGGGTAGGAAGTGGCACAGTCATTGTGACACTGAGGCTGAAACATCTGTTTATTTCTATCTTTAAAAATGCATTACCTTCTAGAAAATTCAGAAAACATAAGAAACAGGAGAACAACCTATAATCATCCTATAAAGATACCCACAGTTATCATGTTTCACAGATACCTAATGTTATTTTCTAAGATCACCTTCTGCATGGGTGAGCTCAAACTTTGTCAGCATTACATTACACAAAATACATTTTCCACGTCTTAAAAATTTTAAAAAGATTTTCATGTGGATAGCACTATTCTATACAGAAATTCTAGAGTTCACTTTATCATTCATCTGTTGGTTGTTTCCCTCTTGTGAATAACACCATGATGAGCATCTCTGATTATAAATATTAGTCTCTATTTGCAATTGTTTCCTTAACAAGAAACCCAGAAGGTGAAGTGCAGATTAAAGGATGTGGTCATTTTTAAGACTCTTGGCATTCTCTCCAGTGCTCGCTTCTCTCCTCATCTCTCCTAAGAGAGTCAGACAAATTACAAATATGAGGATGTTCTTTAAAGAATTTCATACTTTCCTGTGTATGTGTAGATGTGTCATGCACATTTGTGCAACAGAAACACACACACACACACACACACAGGTCCTGACTCCCTCCTAAGAGTGATTGCCTCTTGTCTAACACAAAGGACTGTATTTGTTGGTATTTTTGTTAGTGGTAGTTTTCTTTTATCCATTTCTGTAATCTTAGGGCCTGGCATATGGTGGGAAGTTACTATATGCTGCTTGAACAAAAGAGAAAGAAGAAAAACAAGACTGTGAAATAATTAATGTTTCCCTTTTAATAGCATCCTTTGTTTGTTTTCAGCATTCAAGAAGACATGGTGGTAAAACTCTGGCCCTAAGTCTTCATGATCGAAGAACTCTTTTGCACAACACAAAGGTAAATAAATATTTGAGTCTGCCTGGGTCTTGCTGGTGCAAGAAAAATCTTCTCTTTGGATAAATTGCTCACAGGTGTCTCTTGGTGCTCAGGACAGGATGGCTTTTGTGCTTTGGTTTCAGTTTAAAACATGGTAGCAGGTTTACAGAGCCATTGAGAGTTGGTGCTTACTGTGGTTTCTCTCTGTGATACATTGTATTTGTGGATGAAAAGGCAATATTGATTCTCTTGCTTCTTTTCTATAAGTACCTAGTAAATGCCATTAGGATCCTTAAGTTTTCCTGTTTGGATTTTAACTTCCTCTGATAGATTGTCTCAGCTTGGTTTGATTTTAGAAATGGTGGTGTTGCCTTTGTTTTCTCAAATGTGTGCCATTTCAGTATATTTTCCTGATGAAAGAAACCATTCTCAACTGTGCAAAATAAAGTCAAACCATACATAAGATAAATGTTTTTACATAAGAAGCAGACCTGGAGATTTATGAGCTTAAGAGACAAGTACTATTATTTGGAGGTCCTAAACTTTTAAATGATGGTAGCACTGAATTATGTATTTTATACAGAAGCCAGGAAGGCACAATTGAAAACGCCTATTCTTTTGACAAATTACTAGCATTCATTCCAATATCTATTTCTTGTTTACTGGGGATAATGCTGAATGAATCACAGACTGGTGGATGGATGTTCCTTCCAACACTTTTAATTAGCAGCACTGCCTATTAGGATGAACAGAGTGTTGTTTTTCGGCCATAGATTACCCCTAACCCCCCTTAAATGGAATAGAAATCTTATTCTCCACAAGGTAATATTCATCTCTTCCCCAGCCAGACAAGCATAGAAAATTAAACAATGGTCCGTTAAAAAGCTCAGATAATGTATTTATCATTTCCAGTTTATGTGAGTTTGCAAGGCAAATAGGAGTGGGAGCTATTTGTTATGGGACCTTGGGGAACAAGGGACTGGAGGGGGAGCTGGGAGGCTGGAGCATCCAAGACCTGCGGAAATTCATTAAAAATATGAGGCGCTATTGGAGACAGGGGAAATTAATTACTCTGAGGGACTCAAATGTCACTACTCATTTAAGTGACCTGGCGAGCAGGCTGAGGACCTTTTTTCTTGAGAGTTTGTGTATGGGGGAGGGAGGGAGCCAAGATTCCTCTATTGTCAATTTTTGCATTTCCTCAGTGACTTATTGACATGCTCAGCTGACTCATGCCCCCGCCTCCTCTAATGAGTAGAGTTAAATGAGAAATGTGGGTTGGAGTAGAAGAACCTTGGCCCCAAAGGCTGGCCAGGTTATTCAGTTGAGCTTACCAGCCATGTAAGTAGCTGCCAGACAGAGAGAAACCTGTAATTTACCACAGTGGAGTGAGGAGGCCAGTCATTTGAAGCTGGACTGCGTCTGGTCTTTTATTATTGCTTTTCCATCCACAAAGCTATTCTCGGAGGTGGAGTGAATTTGGAAAGACAAATTAAGGTTTTCTACCTAGGAAGACTGGGGAGCAGTAGCTTCCAAGAGCAGTCATCTTTTCTAAGACTGCCTGTCTAATAAATCTCAGAGATGCATTCTGTCTCCAGACAGAGATTGAAAATATATAGATATGTGATGACTTCAAAGTTTAAAATCAGCAGGCACCAGAGTCATGGAGAAAAATCTCTCCCAGATGGGTGCCTCCCCTAGGCTCACGAATCCCAGAATTTCTTCTGAACCTGACTGTGAAGCATATTTGAGGTTCCAACCATCAACCCAGCCCTCCCTGCCCGAGCTTTGTTGGATACTTACCAAGTGAAAACAGTAATATCTGTCTTACTTGACTGTGAATACCAGTGTGCCCAGAACAGCCTTGGAGCAGGCACCTATCAGAGAAGTGTGTGGTATCCTCATCCATACCTCTTATATTTGCTGTTAATCTATATACGGTATTCTCTCTTCTTTATTAAACATCAAGGTAACTCCGTGGCCTGGGTTCCTGCCTGGGTCAAGGTTAAGGTACTTTGCAATATTTGCTTGGTCTGTTCAGTTAGAAATGAAGCTAAAGAATAAGAAATATGAGCCTTGGGACTTCTTTAGGGAGAGACTACTCACTGGGCTGTGTGTAAACCTAACCTTGGAGGAGGTTGGTGCCCTGGATGGCCACTTCCGGGGATGCCGGAAGATACCGCTTCTCCACTGGCAAACAGCGCCGTGCCTTTGAAATGGAGACAAACCACATAATCGAAGGTAAGCTGCTGGTGGAATCCTGCACCACTAAAGGTGGTGGAGATGTTGGAAGGTTATTTCTGTCTTCTTGGGAAGAGATGATGATGAAGTAAACTAGAGCAGAGTCCATGGACCAGAGAGGAGTTTTGAGAAGCCATAGAAAGGAAACTTTCTGGTTACTGGCTTCAGTAACCAGAATGGCGTGGAGGTACAAGGGGGAACAGACATTCTCCAGGTGATCTTCAGAGTGATCTGCAGGCACTTATAATGTCATTAATAACATGGCTAAATTCAGGGTACAGTCCCTCGCCTCAAGAAGCTCAGAGGGATAAATGATTCGTTACACAGAGGAATAGGGGGAAGCCACAAGGAGCAATGCTCTGCAAGGGGTGAGAGTGAGGTTCTAGGCCTGAAAAGATGATGAGCTGGGTGAGAAAGGATTCAAGCCAGACATTCTACAGAAGACCAGCTGCTCACAGTGGCACTGATGCACAGCTGGTGTGAGAGATGCATGCCTGGCCCATCACATTTCTTTAGTAAGCAGTGATGTGCACACCGGCACACACACAGTGATTTTCAAAGCCTTCCACTCTGCTCTTTTCTCCTAGAAGTGGACATGGGGATTTGGCTGTCCATCCTCACTAGTCAGCCAAGGAGTGGCCAAGGTGCTGGCCTGGCCTGAGAAAGCCTAGACTGCACAATGAATAACTGCTAATGTCACCAATGCCAAAAATTCCTTCGAGCTTTTTGGCCACCTACTTTTTAAAATTGCTTGAATGTCTATAATTAACATATTGGAGCCTTTGGCTATTCAGTTATTACTATGTATTAATTTTATTTTTCCACCTTTGTATTTGTTTATAACTATCACAGATGAGACATTTATGCCTTTATATCTACTAAGATAGTAAACTGCAAGAAATTTGTTACTGCTATTCTTCCTCTTTTCTCCTTCATTGCTTCCTGTATACTTTTTTCTTTGTTTTTATTTGCTTTGATTCCCTCCATTTACCTTTTTCTTTTATCTCTTTTTTCCTATATAATCATGCATTTGTCTTACTTAAAAATAAAGTGGAGACTCTAGATACCAGGAGTTTCAACTACGAGAATTTAGAGCATTCTTAATACTTGGTAATTACCCTCATCTGTTCTTTTTGGTAAAAGAACATGATGGGGTTGCTTTCCAAAACTGAACATTTTGGATTCAAACCTCTGCTCTAACTCACAGCAGCATTCCAACAGTGATCAAATCAATGTCCTTAAGCTTCAGTTTTCACATCAGTAAAATTAAGGTGATAATCATACTTTTCCTGCAGTATTGTAAGAATTAAATAAGGTAATGCATGGAGAAAGGTCTGGCACATTATATTCCAAATTCATAATGTTAGCTCTATTATTGCTTATAATAATACATCCATCATATACATCTTTAAAATACCAAAGGTAGATGTTTTTTGCAACAAGGAAAATAGAAGCTGGGGAGATATTTCCTGACTCTATGCTGGTCTTAGAAAATGGAAATCCCTAGGAACATAGGCACTAAAGGCAGCTGAATCTGTGGGTTCCCAGGGAACCTTATTGGTACAGTGACTGGATGCTGAACATTCAGATGGCCTGCCCATTTCTGAGCTTCCACTCAGCCCGTAGAGAACATCTGGGTTAACCCTCTCCCTGCTACAATATTGCTTCCCAGATAGTGTAGGAGCTTTGGGATGTGCCACTGAATTGCATTACCCACAGTTTAGTTTCTTGTATGTTTTCAGTTAGGTGGGCCATGGAGAGTCTTGGGAGAGTCAGAGGACAGAAACAAAGCAGTGGCTGATTTGCTGATCACCTGCTGTTGTTAATCTGCAGACTCACCTAGTTGGACCAAGGCAGTGACTAGAGATGCAACTGCTCTCCCTTCACCCTGGATTTTCCTCAGCATCTCCACTTCCTTAAGCATATGTGTGTGTGAGAGGGTGTGTGTGTCTAAATTCCATCACTATAGCAAAGCACCTGAGATGATCATCTTAGAGAGAGAGAGAGAGAGAGAGAAAGAGAGAGAGAGAGAGTTTACTTTCGCAGGTAGTTCTAGAAGTTCCAGCCCATGACCAAGTGGCCCAATTAATTTGGGCCTGTGGCAAGGCAGCAATCATTGTGGGAGCACACGGTAGGGGAAAATCTACTCACCTCATGGCAAGAGGAAGAAGAGGCAAGTCCTACAATGGCCATTGAAGCCACTCCCCCAATGACCCAAAGACCTCCCAAGATGCCCCTCTTAAGGGCTCCACTCTCTTCCTGTATCAACACATGAGAACCAAGCCTTTGTTGTGACCCTGTGGGAAATATTCAAGATCTAAACCTGAACTCTGTCTTTTATGCCTCAACAAAGGCCTTGGCTTCTACAAGTCACCCACATCAGCAAGCTGGGAAGCAATGAAAATCAAGGTTCCAGTTTGTACTGGTTTTCAGCTCATGCTTAAGGGTTCCAGATTGCTTCTGATCGGTGCATTTATATCCATCATCAGTGCCTATTGCCCTGCATATCCAACTCCAAACTCAAGGACCTGGCAGGAGACAACAGACTGCTTAAACAACTCCTGCAATTGTATAAAGCCAAATCCTTCAGTAAATAATCCATATGTATTTATTAAATATATATATGTACATATATGCACAGTATATAATATTAGAAGAACAGAATCAACTGATCACTAGGACATTGTGTGTGATTATGTGTGTGAGCACATATGTATATGCATGCCTATTCACACACATATACATAATCTATTAGTGCTGTTTTTGCTCCTCTGATTAAA